AGAGGACATACTTGATTGAACTTATTTAAAAAAAGTTGAATCAATAATTAATATTGATTTCATTGCTCAAAGTGACATTATTTTAGCTTGAAGAGAATTATCTGCTATTAATCAAAAGCTATATCTCCTTCTTTTGGAGCAAGATAAGATTGACTAGAAAAAAAATTTGACAAACTTTGTTTTTTTTAGTCAATAAGTAATCTTAAATTTCAATTTTAATAAAGATATATTTCAATAAACTTGGTAACAATTCAAAACATGTATTGACATAAAATACTTAAGGTTCACATGATCCATATATATTGAGATTGGATTAAAAGCACCTTCTAAAGAATCGTGCCATTTTTAAAATAAATCTACAATTACAAGAAGTTCTTTGTTATTAATCTTCTAGTTGATTTTGATTATGAAAATTTTTCTTGAATAAAAAGCTAATATGTGAAGTTTCTCATCTATTATTTTTAATAATATAATATCTAAAAAAAACTATAATATATTTATTTTTATAAAGAATGGCTTCAAAAATTGACATAATATAAGATTGGTGCAAAAATAAATTCATGTTCTTCTGTGTTCTTAGAGTAAATTAAAATATCTTTTAAATAACAAACAACAAAATTTTCTAAAAATTTTCAAAAGACATCATTCATCAGATATTAAAAAATTATAGGGACATTTATAAGTCTAAAAAACATCACATTGTATTCAAAACATCCATACCTAATTCAAAATGCAACCATCCATTTATCCCTTTTTTTGATGCGTACTTGATTATATGCTCCTTATAGATCTATTTTGGTATAGATCTTAGTTTAATTCAATTGGTCAAGAATTATGGATATCAAAGGTAGAAGATACCTATTCTTAGTGACAATCTTATTAAATCCTCAATAATCCATATACATTCGTAATAATATATTTTTTTCTTCACAAATAATATTGAACCTTCTCTCGGATATTTTCAATGGCACATGAAATTTTTGGCCAAATACATATCAATATACTTCTTGAATTCAACTAATTTATTTTGTGATAAATTATAGATTGGTCCAAATAGCAGTCGAGCTTTCTTTTGAAGCTCAATTAAATAATTATAGAAGCAATGCTTTGAAAGAATATTTAAATTTTTTTTCTCAAAAATATCTTTAAAATCTTAATATTGGCTTAAAATACCATTTGAGGTCTTTCGACCATTAGAAACAAAAGTGGCATAAATAACATAAGTTGATTATATTTTTTATAGCATGCAAGAAAGTTCTTCATATAAAAATATGGATTTTGTTGAACTAAACTTATGAATTTTTACTTAGTTAACAATGCTCTTAGTTATACTCTCAAAAAAATCAAAATTATAATTAATCCAATTTATTTGAAGATTATATTTTTTTTAGCCACAATAAATCTAAATTAATTAGATTAGAAGAAGATCTAATATTATTAAATATCACAAAGCTACTATGACCTTTAATTGCTACTTCTATAGAAAGAATTTCATAAGCAACATTTTCAAAAGATAATAGACGACTATCTATCACTTCTATATGAATGAATTTAGTTTTTTTTTAAGTTGAGGCTCTTGAATCTAGCAAGATAGAATTTTTGTGATATTTAGGTCTTAAACTAATATCTATTATAAAAATAAAAAATAAAAAAAGATTTTAAAGAAAGAATATGACTTTTATTAGGTATTGTATAAGATTCTAGCTACATGGTTCCTATTGAAGTTAAACAAACTTGTTTTTTGGTATACCATCTTTTTTAACATCCATACTCATCATTATGTTGTTGCATCATTTTTTTAGAAAATATTGAATAATATGATTAGATTTTCCATAATATAATTGTAATCCTTCCTAAAAATAATAAATCTTTTTTTGCTTAATAAGATGCTTGAAATGTATTGCATCAATTTGCATTTCCTCTACTTCCAAATGTATGTATTAAAAAAATATTGGTATTGCCATTGAATTATAATAAACTTCAAGCTCACTTGTACAACTTTCAAAATAAAATTCAAAAAGCTAGTTGGCATGCTTCATAACAAAGTCAATTGTTTGATTTAATGTTTGAAAATTAAGTAAGTTGAGAATCAATTTCTTTTCCTCATATTGTAATTTTTAAATAAATTTATTAATAAGTGTAATATTATTCCACTTGATATTAATAATAAGTTATCAAAATTATAAAGCATACAATGATATAAATCAATTTTCTTGTTGCAAAATATAGATCTTATTGGTTGTAATACAAATTGCATCATATTTTCCATACATAGATCAAAATTATACCAAAAAAGTCTCTAAATCATCTAATATTAGATCACATTATTCAAAAAAAGATCCAAACCATGATAATATAGAACTTCAAATAGTATTCTAATAAATTTGACTTGTGACACTAGAATTACATAGCTTTAGAGCCAAAGTTAAATCACTAATTGTACTTAATTGATGAATCCTTAAAACTTTCATCTTATGCTATTAAATTTCTTGAATAGAGCAATTTTTGATTCTCTATTACTTAAATGGTGTTGTACCATAGAAGAAGTAATATGATTTGAAGTAAATATTGAAGCAGCTTCTATTATTTTTATATCTTTACTTTCTATTAATCTTGTAGCTTCTTGTCGTAGTAAATTGAGTTAATGTATTGCAAGCATTCATTTCTTCAACTGCTCTTGTATTTGTATCAATGCACTTTTCATTTCAACAAGATCTATTATAATACTATATATATATATATATATATATATATATATATATATATATATATCTAATATTACTCAAGATAAATAGTAGAGATGATTTGAGAACAAAAAAAATACTAAGAATAATGTCAATTTAAAACAAGGTAATTTATAACTTCTAATACACTTATATCTAATAAAAAAAGAATAATCTACTTTTAATCAAGAAAAGACAAAGCTCTAATATTATCAATGCATTCTTGTTAATCTATTAAGAATAAAAACTTGATAAATATAAATAAAGAAATAAGACTTTTTATTAAAAAAAAAAAAAAATAGAAATAAAAAAGTATGTATATTAAAAAAAAAAACTAAAATAACTATTGCCAAAAATTATTAGAGATCATATACAAGACAAGGATTCTAAACCAAAGAATGGAGTTAACTTGACATTAAAACAATAACTAAATATAAGGCAAGAAAGCCCTGGCTAGACCACAAGAAGTAAGTTATTAAGACTAAGAATCTTCTCAGCCTCGACTCCTATATATATTAGATCCTAAGAAGCTTCTTGAGAAGTTTTTATGAGGCTTGAGAACAAAATTAGCCTAAGATCCTTCTTTAGCAATTTTTTAAATCATCTAAATTCTCCTAGAACCTTCTAGGACCTCCTATGATCTTCTAGAACTTTGGTATCTTTATTATAGAATTTTTCTACAAAGACTCCTTCTGTATGTCCTTCATAGGCAGGTTCTACCTCAAACACAATTATCAATGATCGAATTGCCACTTTTGGTCTAGATGGATGTCATTGATGGAACCTTTGAACCTTCATTTGTATATTTATAAGGTTGTCAGCTAGTTCTCATATGCAATTGTTGATATCATATTTGCGCCAATAGACTAGATATTCAAGCCTTCCATGTCTTATTCTTGAATCTAATACCTCTTTTATCTCAAATTCAACATGATCATTGATTTCAACCATAAGAGGTGGTGATTGTCTTTGACCTGATATGTTTGTTTCTTTATATCTTTCCAAAAGCAAAACATAAAAGACTGGATGAATCTTCATAGATGAAGGCAACTCCAAGCAATAAGTTACATAATTAATTTATTTTTGAATTACAAATAGTCTCAGTCTTCCGTAGTCTAACTTATCACATGGCATATTGGTTTTTATATTGCGCCAAAGAAATCATACTTCATTATCAACTTCGAATGGAAGATGTTCTTTCTTCAATTCATCCACCAATAGCTTATAACGTTGTTGAGCTTTTTCTAGGTGATTCTTCATGGTTGCTTGAAGTTTGGCCATCTTCTTAGTAAACTCCTCTACTATTACATTTGCCGACTTTGAAGGCTCTATCATATCCAACTTTGGATGATGACTATAGTTTGAATAGAATGGTGTTTGCTACTTAGATGCATAGATTGTGTTATTATATGCAAACTCTATCAACGACAAGTAGGAAGTCCAATCATCTTGTTAATAATTGATGGTACACCTCAAATATTGCTCAAGAATTTGGTTAATCTGCTTCGTTTGGCTATCAATTTGACAGTGGAAGGCAGAAGAAAGGTTGATGTCAATCTTAAGAATCTTGAAAAGTACCTTCCAAAACCTTAATACAAATTGTGGCCTACAATCTGACACAATGTTGTCTGGCCATCCGTGGTAACAATAGACATTGTCAATAAAGAGTCTTACCATCTCTTCACTAGTAATTGACTTCTTACAACATAAAAAATGTGTCATCTTGGTTAATCGATCAACAACTACAAAGATATTGTCAAATGAATTTGATGGTTGAAGATCTGTAATGAAATCCATTGAGATAGATGACCATAGTTATCTTGAAATAGGAAAGAATTAAAGAAGTCTATATGATTGATGTCGAGGATCCTTTGACCTTGAACAAATATCACATGATAGTATGAATTCTTTAACGTCCTTTCACATTTTAGGCCAATATAAGTTTCTAGAAGAAAGTTCCAGGGTCTTATTGAATGCAAGTGTACAGCTGTAGGGAGGTCATGGCGTATTTAAAGAACGCGCAAGTTTTACTTGCAAATCATCCTACAAACAAGCCGAGAAGTTTTGCAAGCATCTACAAAAAAAAACAATAGAAAATTCAGCTTTCATTAACGTCATCAGCTAGTGACAAATAGACGCAGAGTCCCAAAACGTTCATATAAGTAAATTATCTAAAACCTGAGTCAAAGTTACTCTCTGTAACATTAATTGCACGAAGCTTACTTTGACGTATTTATATACCCGAGCAAAATGTATGCGACTCTATTCATTATAGAATGCATAATAACTCATTAGAATGCATAGCCCCGTTTCTCATTAATAATTTCCAGTGACAACTGTTGTCAAAATTCTAGAATGAAATCGAAAAATGCCTATGTTCTTGAAGGAACTCTAGACCCTAAACACCTAAACCCTAAACCTGGTCTGCTAGACAAAACCAGCCCAATTATTGACTAGAGCAGAAACTTGACCAGAACCTAACACACAAGGGCCAACCTCGTCCTACAACCATATCAGAGAACCTTAGGCTAAGTTCAATTAGAAAAAGGCATAGCGATAATACTGCACAGGCATTAAATACAAGATGTGCATATATGAGCCAATCATAATCTATATGGTCGAAGATAAGGCTAGCATGAAATTTCATGACAGAAGCGTCCTTGAACACGTTGGAATATGTTTTTCATGAAAAAATATACACACATGTATATATATATATATATATATACACACACACACACACACATGATTAAAACGGATGAACGTCATTGTGATTTCAGTCAATACAAGGATCCACTAGTCTGGTGTTGCATTGGTTCATACAATAGGTCCAATGCAATTTTGCATCCTCCCACGAAAATTCAAAGAGATCAAAAATCAGGTCAAAGCATAAGGACAGCGTGTCTTGCATTCCTTCAAAGTTTCAAACTCAATTCGGCCTCTACATTTGCAGGACCAACCACAGACATGTAGTAAAAGATGCAAGCAGAAACTGACGCTTCAGGAAAATTTCGACGACGACTTTTGAACAACAATGCATTCACTGCCACATAATACCTGGTTGAGGTTTTCGATACTCGTTGTACACTCCTCCCTGCGATGTTTCAAGAGACCAGGGCCTTTTTTATCCCTTATGTTTGTTAACTAGGTCACTTTCTTAATACCATGAATGAAAAGCAAACTGCAGTTAAAGTACTGCAGTTCAAACAAATTGAAGCGGTGGTACGTGTAGCACATACCTGTGCTGATCTTCTGAGCAGTAAATCACAATCAAACGAACAATATAAATCCATCACACACATGTAACACGAACCAGCAAAAGAGAAAATTAGCTGTGGAGGAAGTAGTTACCTCACTATAAACCTTGAAGTATCTCCATCCCTTCAGCTAGATCAGAAGGGATCCTGCTCCATTACAAAGCTCGCAATCACATCGCCAACAGGAAGAGTTCACCTCACCTCAGAGCCTCGTGAGTGATCTAGAACAGAAATATCTGAATCTACAATCTCGCAATTAACTTTTATCGAGCTGCAGCGGAACACGGCTCTCAAACTTGCTTGATTCAGGATTTCTGAAGAGCACGGGATCGCACACAACTCTCGATCAACCGAGACGAAATCCATCTGGAGATTCAAATATCCCGCTCCCGCCCAAACGGCCATTTTCAATGTGGGACCCGCGCTTTTGCACTTGTCCAGTTGGATTTAAACATCACCACCGCATTGAAGACCCACTCTTTGCCAACGGAGAGTTTTTTTTATTTTATTTTTTTTTGCCCGATTCCAGGCATACTGCCGAAAGCTATATTCTATTTTGCTTTAAATTTAATTTTTCCCATCATGAAAAAGTCCCTCCTCGCTTTTCTCATACTGAAAAGTTAAAAAAAAAAATAAAAAATAAAAAATAAAATACGGAATGTTCTGGAACGCTAAGGTCGTGGGGGGGGGGGGAGAACAAATTGGATGAAATCCCGATTCCGCACGACATTCGTTGCCAGCGTGGCACCACACTGTTCGCAACTCAAACGTCGAGGATCAGTTTGTGGGCACTCGACCGCAGCAGCAACCGTGGCCAATCCAAGCTTCGCACTTTTCATTCCAAGTCAGCTCAGGTATCATTCAAGGTGTTCCCAGTCCTGTAGTGAGAAAAGGGACGAACATACCTTTCCATAGAGAACCATATCACGGCCAATCAGGTGAAGTGCCAACTGGGCACACAAGGATGGTGTCCCCGTCTGGATCCGACGTGGCTAATCAACCGGATCACGGAAGCCGAGCGCCATGGTGGACGGTCGACGTGTTCCATAATGATTGCACATGGTGGCGTAAGGGACAGCAATGCGTTCCTCAAGGCACGTGTGTCCATGTGGCCTTGGGTGATGGCGATGGGTCGGTGGGTGGGTGGGTGGGAGTGGGTGGGCGTATCTTGCACGGGATTGGATGGAACCCACAGGTCGGGATTAGGCCCAGCGCCAATGTGGCACTTCAGTCCGTTTCAGTCTAGTACCTGTGCGTGTGAATGGGGCCTCCCATGTGGTCAAGGCTTCTTCTGCCATTGCCATGGTGGAATCAGGTTCAGCATTCATCCCTTACGACGGATGAAAGGCCGGATCGATATCATTCGTTTGCCGACAATAATGCACATGATGAGTAAGTGTTTCCTATTGTGAAAACTCCTTGTTTGTTTCAGTTTTGACCAGCTGTAAAGTTTAACGAACATCCACATTCAACTAAAACGTATTCGGTTCTGTGGTATTTGATAAATCATAAATATTCTGTCAGCTAGTTCTTTAGGGAACCTTTCAGTTGTTTTATATGCTGTCACCTTTGCTTTGGAAGGGGGGGACAAGTGTCATGTGTGATGTGGACACATTCGAAGAATGGTTTCCAACGCATGCTTCGAAATCCACCTTTTCTTCTTTAATGTTCCATGTTCCTTTATATTTTTTTATTTTCTTTACATTTTCTTTTTATGGTTTGGCATGGAAAGGGTGTGGAAAGGACATTTCAGCACCTTGGGGAATGATTCCCAATACCAGGAGGAGGAACAAGAGGACAACTAGGAGAACTTATTCTGTCCTTTTGTTCATCCACACATCCATCCATTCACCCGATATATTCATTCATTTGTGTTAAATATGGGGCTACATGAGGAGGGGGTATGATGATATTGATGCCAATTCAGAGCCCTGCTGTCCAACCAGGGACTATCAAGGCAATCCCAGCATAATAGTGTGGTAATGAATATTATACTTTCTCCAACCCAGTTGTAAAAACCACAGTGGTGGTGGTGGTGGTAGAGCATGTCTCAACCCACATGTTGAAACAATGGCAAAAGGACAAAGAACGCCCTCAAAGAATAAAGGACAACAAATACTTGCAACACCATATCTCTTCTGTACATGTGCCCCCCCCCCCAAAGCAATACATGATGTTCAATGCAAAGTTGGGTTACTATGCTAAACTTTTACTTTAAGGTACACATATTGCTCTATTACCATGATGGTTTAAATTAATACATTTAGCTTTTTGAATTGAACTCTTTTTGTATTTAGTAATAACATCCTTAAAGATGTTTTTTTAATAGGCTAAAAAATAATATAAATACTATTTTTGCATATACAAACTAATAAAAAAATATAGATTTTTTTTAAAGTATTATGAAATGAATTAGTTGTATCTAAGTGTCAAAGTTATAGGATATTTTTAGAGTATATTTTTATACCTACAATTTGTTTTTAAATAAATTTTCATACTAACCTTAGTTTTTACATTGGTTAAAAAGACGTTTTGTTTAAATTGAGTACCAAAGTTAAGAGATACAAAATTAAAGAAGATAAGATAAATTAAATAAATACCTCTTGGTCTAGAATCTAAAAATCTCTTCACAAGATTTTTAGTCTGAATTCAAGCACTATGGATATTCTCTTCTCTAGAATCCAAATATTTACTTGTCAAAACCTTTGGCACCGTAGGCATTTTTCAAAACTTGGACATTTATTCAATGTATATCATTATCTTCATTAATATTTTATTTAAAAAAAATATAATATTTTTATAATTTTATGACCAAACATTCTTCATATTAGTTGTAATAATAAACATAGCTTTTTTAGAATTGAAAAGAAAAATTTATTACAAAGAAATTGATTAGATTTGTCCGATAATTTTTTTATGAAATTAAATTTTTATCTTCTATCTTGTAAAAAGCTCCTTACAACATACATAATAGACTTAATGGTTGTCAATAAAATATTTAGACTATGATAAAATAAAATATAATATTTGTTAAGATAATATAACTTATTGTTGAGATATTTTTTAAAAATAAATTCTAGTTAAATTCTAGAATTTAAGTTTGTTCTTGATCCTTCAAATCAAGAGATTATCAAATTTTTATAATTCAACCATAATCTCTAATAAAAAATGTGATTATTTTTTATTTAATTTTAATTTTAGTTTATTTTTTCATTTAATTTAAAAATTATATTTTTCTTTTAGAAATATAAGAATTAAAAAACTCGTGTCACTTTATTTTATTATTGAAAATATAAAATTATTTTTCATGTTATATGAAGTTGGCTTGATTATCTTCTAGTTGAATTCGAAATTCTATATACTATTTTGTTCACTTAAATTATACTTTTTTTCCCTATTAATTGGTATCTTAATTATAAAAATAAATTAAGGTATAAAACCTAGTATTCCTATTGACTTAAATAAATATTTTTGTAACATATTATAATATGTGAAGAGAAAAGCTGATCAAAGAGGCAATATGTGACATGAGTTTGTCTTTTTGACTTGGCTGATTACCTACAAACTAG